CCCCCAACTTCCTTGCGATGGCCTCCAACCTAAAGGCGGTTGCCTTTAACTTACTACTTGTCCTCCTGGTATCTCAGGTTTTTTAACTCAGGCCGGCGTGTGGCCAACCGCAACCAAATCAGTACGCAATTCAATAAGTGTGTCTGGCTTCATGCCAGCCCGGGGTGGCCCCGCAGAGTGGCCCCTGTGGACCCGTTGAACGGGGTTGTCTTTGTCCCTGCGCCCTTATTTGCCAAGACTTGCCGAAGTATTGAATTCTAATCTGGCTTATGCCTCTACGTGACCGCAGCGGTCTGAGCAGCCAGCCATTTTGGCACAGCGTACGTGGCCGCAGCGCCCGAACCTTGTTCAAGACTCGTTGGAGTCTGTCGTGACCTTGGCCCCCCCTCCCCTCCTCTCTCCCTTCTTTGTCATCTTGGGGTGTTCCTGAACGTAATACTCAGGTTCACCCCTCTCTCACTGGTGTGTCCCTGGACGCTTGTTCGTAGCTGGGAACACCTGCCCTTTTCCTTCCTCTTTTCTCCCTCTCTCTCCCTCTCTTTCTTTCCTTTCTTCACCTTCCTTCTTCCTTGGGTGTCCCTGGATGCTTTCGTCATAGCTGGGAGCCCTTCCTTTTAGGTGTCGCCTGGTCAATGAAGTTGGCGATGTATCTGAGGATATGGAAATGGGACGCCATATCCACTACCTGCTCCACTATTTAGGAAAACAGAAGGAAATGGTACGTCGGTGCCTTTCCTTCTGTTTTTCCTCTCTTCTACCCCATAGGTTTGCAGGTAGGCCTCCAAACTTGTAATGTGGTCCTTCAACCTGAATTCTTTGGCCTCCACCCACTAGCATTGGCCTCGTCTTGTGTTTCTTGTGTTTCTTGTAAACTTGCAGCACTGGCCTCCAACCTGGCACTATGGCCTCCAAACCACTAGCGACGACCTCCACCCTTGCTGCTCGCTGTCACTTTTGTTTTGCTTGCGCGTACTACCTACCACCTACTACCGTAGGCGTTGGCCCCCAACTTCCTTGCGATGGCCTCCAACCGCGTTTGCCTTTAGCTTACTACTTGTCCTCCTGGTATCTCAGGTTTTTTAACTGAGGCCGGCGTGTGGCCAACCGCAACCAAATCAGTACGCAATTCAATAAGTGTGTATCAACACCCCTTTCCAGGGTTTCTATACCTACCGTACGCAATGAAGCTACAGTATGACAAGGGAAGGGTGGACTGATCATCCACCTGTACCTGCACCGCTTTTAAACATTCGCATTTCACCCACGTTGAAACATTCTATTTGTCCGACCTTGCATTGCCGTTCCATCAAGTCAAGGGCTAAGTATTCACGTAAATGGCTACTGCACACCGCGAAGCATTGAAGCTTAGCTCCGCGGAGCACTCATCTCAAGTGTGTGTGTGTGTGTGCATCCTCCGTCTCCACAAGTTTGTTCTACTTTTGTCTGCCCCCTTTTTCTCCCCAATGATCAAGCAGGGGGGCGTAGCGTGTTCAGATGACTACGCCCAACGAAGCTAGTCTGAACACAGGATACCAGGATTGGCCATCCTGGCGTACCTGCGCTGACGGAACTTTTGCACGCGCTGTGACTCCACCTTCCATTTTTGGTTTGCATGGTGGTTCTCCACAATACTTCCCACAAACCCATTTTCCTTTGCAGCTGTGCCACCGCCGCCTTCCGCAGTCACGCGCGAACAGTGTTTCCAACCTTTCAAGTGAGCTGACTTTGCCACTGTGGATTATTAATTATGATACTGCAAACCCTGTGACTAAGGGTGTGTGTGTGTGTGCGTGCGCGTGTGTAACCCTTATGGCTTCTAAGCACGGGGCGTGACGGGCTCATGCCAACAAAGCTGTGGAAATCAACTGGGAGAAGTTTGCGCGCAAACGTCCATACCTGCTTGCTAATATAAATTAACGCCATTGTTTTTTCTTCAGCACCTCTTGTGGGCAACTTGGGCACTTACTCTTCTATGTTCATGTTGCCGCTGCCATTCACATCCACTATGGATTGGACTTTGCTCACTGCTTGCTGTTGTAGCCAACTTGATTGTTACTTTAATCATTTCCCTTTGCCCAATTTGTTCTTACCTGGCTTTCCTCCGGCCCTTTTTTCACCCAGGTTTCTTCTGGGCCTTGAAACAAACCTCTGTCTGTACCCTTTATCCCGGGCATGTCTGGCTTCGCGCCAGCCCGGAGTGGGCCCGAAGAGTGCTCTCCTTGCTCGTCTCTTTCTCGCTGCCGGAGAAGAAGGTGCTCACGGCGAGCGTAGGAGTTTCAAGGCAATCGTTGACTAAGAACTGACGACGCGGGCCTTGGACATGGCTCAAGGTGGTCGCAGCGACCGCGCGTTCAATTGAGATCATTGGATCTCGGCTTGGGCCTCAGCTACGCGCGTTGACAATGAGGTTCGGGTGGTTTTGCTGCGTTGGTTCCTTTCACCTGGTTTTCTTTTGTCATTGCAGCTACAGAGCTCTCCTCCTTTTCTTTCATGATTTTTCTGTCTTCAGGTCTTGTCATGTCATTTTCTTCTCTTGCGCCCACATTTGCTCCGATCTTGGTGTGCACGTGCACCTTCACAAACAAGCCCGGCTTTCAGGCGCCCCAGGTTTCCTACAATGCGGTGCGCGCGCTGTTTGTTCCTGTTCACTTGGCTTTCTTCACGTCGTGTCATTCTCTCTTGTGTGCGCGCGTGTGCCACCCTTGAAGCCACAGATAGGCTTCTGGTTTCTCAGCAGGGGCCGTGACGGTTGATTTCCCTAGTCACGCTAACGACGCTGTGGAAATCAACTGGAAACTTCCGTACCGGCTCTCTATGTATTTAAGTGCTGTTGTTTGTGATTCAATATCTTTTGTGAAAGACTTGGGTGCACTCACTCTTCTATGTTCATTTGGTGATTATGGATTTCCCTATTGCAACCGTTTCCAATTTGTTCCTACCTGGCTGTACTCAGGCCCTTTTTTCACAGGCTTTGGCGGCCTCCGTACGTTTCCTTTATCCCGAGTGTGTGTTTGCGCGTGTTTTGCTGATATATCCTGGTGCGTGCCCTTGTTTATTTCGACGTGTGTTGAAAATTATATGAATACAACCCCACGGGATATGCGATATGATTGCGTGTCATTTGGTTGGCATGCATGAGTGGTTGTCATGCACGGCTTGGGCCCGGCTAAGTTTGAAGCTGTGTGGTTTGGCGCATAGCCTTGAACTTTGGTCAAGGAGACTGCAACAGATGACTTGCCCTTGACTTTGAGTAAGCTGCAAGAGCTCTTGGGCTACCGTGTGCATGTCGAGCGTGATGCACTGGCAACTCGGAGAGGGGAGGACGGACTCAGCTGGGGGCTCACAGAAGCCTAGTTTTTAGTGCCATGGTGGATCAGTTCCTTTTGGCCCATGCCATTAGCCTACATACTAGTTAACTGCTGGCTCCTGAAGCTGTTTTAGCCGAATGAGTTTACTGCAATCACTCACTTGCACAGAAAGCGGCTGAAAGATTGAATGCTTTGCTCACAGGCACTTCGGATCTTTGGGCCAAAGCATGAAGCCTTGAACGCCCAGAAGGTGCTGCAAAGGCACGCCGTTTGTCCCACTGCATATCCGTGACATGTGCGTGTCGAACCACGCAGGCTGGAGGAACTTTGTTCCAGTGAGATTTTGAAGCTGCCTGATGATTGCGTTCTTTGGCCTGGGGGTAGATGTCTCGGATTTCAGGCAGCTCTTGTGACCCGTTCTCTATGTTGCATGTGGAATGGCACTGTATATGTATATTACATGGGCTTGCAGACATTTCGGGGCCCTCTGGAAAGCAATTGTTTCTGAATCATATGATCCAACTTTATTTGTTGTATATGTGTCTTGTAATTCATCGTCTAACAAATCAATCCCCTGCTAACAAATCAGCCGTTTGCGAGCAAATCCATCATTTTCTACAAAAGCAAATGCGCAAAAAAATATACATTCTGTCTGATCTACTTTAATCAAAGTCGACTTGCGACAGTCGATGGCGAGGGCGAGGGGAGGGGTGACTTGTGATTGTCGAGGTGAGGGGGGAGGCGGGGTAGTATGTGACTTGTGATACTTGAGGGTGATGTGACTTGTGATAGTCAAGGGTGGTGGGGGCACAGCCCGTCCTCCTCCTCCTCCTCCTCCTCCTCTCCTCCTCCTCCGTCAAACCTTCAAACAGAACGTTTAAGACTTCCCAGCCCCCCCTCCCCCCTTCTACTCAGGAGTTGGAATTGTTTTTGGACAATAAATATATATATACAATAAATATATATATATATATAATTGTTTATAAACATTTGCTGGTCTAGTGCAACTACCACTGTTTGACCACCATGCTTGCTTATATACCAAAGGACAATTTCGCACTAAGGTATTAAACGTGTGGTTGCGCTGCTTTCTGTGCCTTGTAATGGGTGTTTGTATTGCAGAGGCTACTTCATGTTATAACAACCAGAAAACTATTTGGCGTGAGAACTATTTGATCAATTGATTGTTGTTTGTTAGTGAGCCTGTATCACGCTCTAATTCCTCATGAATATTGTTGATTAGGCACTACAAGAATTCCCTCATGGAAGACGCATCCACTGTTGCCAAATGCTTTTGTGGAATGTTGTTTTGCTATTGGAACAATGGGTTTTTCAAGAGAAAACCATCGTTGTACCGTGAAGTGGTCTATTTTTGGCGGGATAATTCTTTGCACTGGAATGATCTTTTTGCAAAGCAATGAAAAGACCTATTTACATGGCTTTTGCTTCAGAACCAAGCGACATTGATAAGTGCAATGTTTTGCGTAAACGACGTTTTAGTTTTATAGCTCATTGTCAGTCTTTTGTCTATGACATCATTTTCTTTGCTTTAGTAGCACACTTGCAACAGCATCCAGGATATTGTTCAAGTAATTTTGTGCGGCTGTGTTTCTGAATGCTACATGCGTATGGTGAACCCCCTTGCTCTTGTAATAGCACCACAGCAACTCTTTGCTCACTAGGTATGTTCTTTGCCATTTGCGCCTGGTAGTGGTTGTGGTTTCACTTATTGATGTTCCCCTTCTACTTCTTGGTAAGTGGTGCAATACACAGATCTGACAGCTTATTGGCCACATTCCTTCTAACAAGTTTGATATGTTGTTAATTCTTTCTGTTTTTCAAGTATGACACAAACTTTCACTTGTAGAATCGCCCCTTTGATGTTCACATTGCCATTGCTGAAATAGTAGGAGGACACATGCTTCAACAAATGTTAAGCACTACCGAAGAACAGGTTACAATAAGGAACCCAAACAATCCCCCATTACCCCTTTTAAGAAAAGAGATCCCTTCTAAAAACCTCTCTTGGTAAAAAGAGCTTGTTTACTGACTTCTTCCTTTCCACGGTTTCTTCCCCACCTGCCAGGTGAGGGTTGTTAGATTTTATCACAGCTGTTCTTCCTCCGCCTCCGCCTCCGCCTGCGCCTCCGCCTCCGCCTCCGCCTCCGCCGCCTCCTCGTCCTCCTCCTTCCTCCTTCCTCCTTGCTTCCTTCCTCGCCAATCTGCTTCGCCGATCTTGTCTGGCCAGCTCCGGATCGCAGTGTGCACCCCTGGACCTCAACCGCAAGGATCCCCTCGCAGTGTGCACCGCTGGACCTCAACCGCAAGGAGCCGATCGCAGTGTGCGCCGCTGGACCTCAACCAGATAGTTTGCCAGATAAAATGCCAGATAGAATGCCGGGTAGATTGCCAGATAGAATGCTGCAAGAAGATATGCCAGATAGTATGCCAAATAGTGTGTCAGATAGATTGTTAGATACATTGCCAGATAGAATGCCAGAAAATATGCCAGATAAAATGCCAGATAGAATGCCAGAAGATGTGCCAGATAGAATGACAGATAGTATGCCAGACAGTATGCCAGATAGTATGTCAGATAGATTGCCAGATAGAATGGCAGATTGAATGGCAGATAATATGCTAGATAGTTTGCCAGACAGAATGCAAGAAGATATGCCAGATAGAATGCCAGGTGAAACACGGGAATAATATGCTCATTTATTCAATAAAATGTATGAATGTCATGGTGGGGATCACTCGAAGTAAAGTAATCTTATTTTAAGCGTTTTTCTGACGCGTCCATTTCCACTGCGTGCTGAGGTTTGAGAAGGAAGTTGAGAGCTGCCG